AAGCAATTAGATTAGGAAACGAGGAACCTTCCATTTCCGTGGGACGTTTCAGATTCAGCGGCGAACTTTGGGCTGATGTCAGCCAGCGTCGCGACCCACCCACGCCCGTCGCATATCGGAACCGGGACGATTCTTCCAAGTTGGCAACATTGTACTGCGTTCATTTATATTTATGCAAAACAATCGATGTTTTTCAAAGCAGGTTGCTCAACCAAGAATCAATTATTTACAACGGGTTTAAACGGAGGAAATATAGTGTCACGAACTTTGGGGAATCGCCACTGCACCCATGCGATATATTGCATGGTTAAGATATAGGGCTAAGTCTTGTCTTGTCGTGCCGACATGGTGTCAATAATCAGGCCGCTGCGCTGGTGCGATGGACGAACGTCGTGTATTGATGTAGGTTCAAGATAATTCGAAACGCCTTCAATTGATTGTTATGCAACATTGGCGTACGTGCAGCAGGAATAGTTGCATCTACGCCTTGCGTAGAAGGTGTCCCCTTTCCATTCTCATTCCTTGTGACTGAGACGTAACAGCCTCTTTTTTTTCGGAACACAAGGACTCTGAACTGAAAAGTTTTGAGGAAACTCTGTCCGTTCAAGATGAAAAGTCGCGAAACTTTTAAACAAATGCAGAGACAAGACGTCTTCTTATAAAAAGGAAATAAATTAATTGAGTGAATAATGAATATTTATGTGAATGAATGAAAGGCTCCTCAATGAGATTCTTGCCTGCTAAAAAAATTAATTCAATTTAATGAATAATGAATGATTGAGTAATTAAATGAGTGATAAATTAATGCAGTCCAAACCGGATCATTCAAACTAATTAACTGATGGGCGGGTTCAATTTTAAAGAGTTCATATACTTCAGAGGCTGTTGCTGTTGGTGATGGGCAAATTTTAAGTCCTTTAGTGGGTCAATTGCGCTGGTCACAGTAGTGTTTTGATGCTCGATTCCTATAGATCAGCTAAAATCATAAGATCCGTCCAAACAGCAACTTTCTACGTTCAATATTAACTGAGATGTCGCCCTTTTAAAAGTCGGGTTTTTGACGTCATTCACCGCGGTAGCGACACACTTGGTTTCTTCCACCTTGCTTTCATCCGAGTTCCTCGTCAAATAATCAGTGAAAATATGCGTCACGATGCCTGATAAAAGAAACGAAGAGTGTCACCACTGCGATGGATGACGTCAGAAACCAGACTTTTCAAAGGGCGATATCTCGGTTAATATTGAACGTAGAAAATTGCTGTTTGGACTGATCTTATTATTTTTAGATAAGCTACAAGAATCAAGAATCAAATCACGATTCTGTGCCCAGCGCAATTGGCCCATTTCTCAAAGATAAACATGTTGAAAAAATGATCAAATGATAAAAAGATCACATTAAAAATTCATGGGAGGCCCTTGCTTGTCCTACCTAGAAAAAAAAGCACCCCCACTAAAAATAAATTAACCCTCAGAATTTCATTCCCTTAGTTCACACCGACATTTTCTGAGGATATCAGGACACCATGGGCTGCGTTCCTTTTATTCCGATGTTTTAATCAACGACGGAGCATCTCCGAGGAACTCGCTCGAGCGTCGAAAATGGAAAACAATGGAAAAAAATAAAGGAAATCAGGAAAACCACCCTTGTAAATGTCAAGCTCCGAGTCACCCTTTTCAGTGGCCGCCTCGAGGTTCTGTAGTTCAAGTGTTATTGGTTATCGTCACTTCAGACGACTGAAATAGGAGTGAGAGGGGGGGGGTGTCATATTTCCAGCCAACCGCGTCGCGTCGTATCGAGGATTGTCCTTATATTTTGCCTTGGGATTTTTAGGATAGTACCGCGAGTTGGCAAGAGAGTTCGTCGCTCCTCTGACGTAAGGGCGTATCTGAATTTCCACATGAGCCCTGTTTTACCATATGAATCAGTGTCTTCTGGGGCTCATGCAGAATTTGAGATACGCCCTTACGTCAGAGGAACGACGAGTTTGGAGCAGCGTCATGACAACGGCCGTCGTTCGGAGCCCAACAAGATGACGTGCAGATATCTGCTACATATATATCGATGAAACTTATTTTAAGCCACTCCGTCCTTAAGCATTTTGGGAAAAGGGATAAATATATACAGGGTGATCCAGAGTTAAACGGTCAGGAGCGTGTTCTATGGGTCAAAATAAGACTTTTTCACTGTATAAAGTTTTTATCCAAAAGTGCCCCCAGTCGGAGCTATGCCCCTCCCCCCTCAATTTCGGAGAGTAAATCATTTTTCCTGACTTTTGGCAGCGGTTGTGAACCAAATCTCATTAAAATTTGTATTTTGGTTTACATTTATGCCCTGAACTCATAAATGATCTAAAAAAATCGAAATCTCACTTTAATAAGGGGGGTTGGGGCACCTCGGCTCCTGCAGTCTGCTCGTTTAACTCTGGATCACCCTGTATATAATAACTCCAGGGCATACTTCATAAGATCGGAGATGAAGTGTACAGTAGTAAGTATTGCAGGTTTTTTTTTTTTTTTTTTTTTTTTTTTTTTTTTTTTTTTTTAAATCAAAACTTGATGTAGCTATATTTGAGTGTGTAGCGAATGAGCGTGGCATTTCACGTTGATACCACTATTCAAGCACGGAACAGGTCGTGTTCCCTACACTGAAATTGAAGGCAAACTGACAAGACGTTAGTGTGATCTTTCCCCATCTGGCAAAGGCTATTATCTCAGTGTGTTTCGAGTACGTGTGCATGTTGACAATGGGTCAGTTGAGCTGGTCACTGCAGAATTGTGTTTTGATGCTTGATTCTTGCAGGTCAGCTAAAAATACCCTGGTAAAAAATTGGCGATAAGAGCTGCGTTTCAAAATACCATAGGAATTCTTATAGCCGGCTAAAGAAGGGTACAGAAAATCATATAGCTGGCTGTAGAATGCGGAGAAAATCATACGGCCGGGCTATACGAAGCGATAAAATATTATGCAGCCGGACTATAGTTCCTATCGCCGGGCTTTACACTTTATCGCCTAGCTGTTGCTTTTTCGCCATCGATTATAAAAGGCTATAAGAAATTGCGTAGAAATTCGTGTGCTTTGGAAATCATTAAGTTTGATACGGACCCACCTTAATATTTAAAAAACACACATTATATTTTCCTTTAACACATATTTTTTTTCATCAATTAAAATGAGAATAATCCATACAGGATGTGCAAACATTTCAAAATCATGAGTTGAATAACGCTGACTCCGCGAGATTAAATATTAGAGCCTAACACGAAGCCGTGGAGCGGCGACGCACTGGCGCCTACAAACCTAACAGGGATACTTCACGCATTGCGCAACGCGTGAAGTATTCCTGTTAGGTTTGTAGGCGCCAATGCGTGTTTCGCGCTGGCTGCCCGCCTGCCACGGCGCTTGAAGCAACTATTTCACACCAGAGGTATTGCACAGTATCATACGAAACTGAAGGCGCTCTAATATATTAGTAATGGCAGGCATCCATCAAAAGTACGGAGCTTTCCTCGCAAAATAAATCAAGATACTACGGCCCAAAAAGAGAGCAGTATTCCAAAAACTCACCAAGTCCTCGCATCCGTAATTAGTAACGTTTAGCATACACTTTATCGCCTGGCTGTTGTTTAATCGCCATCGGCTATAAAAGGCTTTAAGAAATTGTGTTGCCGGCTGTAGAAGCTATTGAAATTCTTACAGCCGGCTGTAGTTCTATGGTATTTTAGAACACAGATTCTATTGCCAATTTTTACCAGGTTAATAAGATCTGTCCAGACAGCACCTTTCTGCGTTCAATATTGACCGAATATATTGCTCTAATATTCGGTTTATGACGTCATCCACCGCGGTAGTGACACCCTTGGATTCTTCCACCTTGCTTTCATCAGTCAGTGAGACACACATTTCCACCGGTTACTCGCAACGTGAAACTCGGATGAAATCAAGGTGGAGAAAACCAAGGGTATCGCTACCGCGGTGGTTGACGTCCTAAACCGAATTTTTCAAAGGGCGGTAGCTAGGTTAATATTGAACGTAGAAAGTTGCTGTTTAGACAGGTATTATTATTTTTAGTTGATCTACCAGAATAATGCATCAAAACACGCTTCTGAGCAGAGTGACATGAAACGTAAAAAAGAAATGAAAGATTGGAAATTTCAAAGGAATAATTCATAAAATTTAAAACTAAGCTATGAAATATTTCATATTTTTTCAGGGGCTTGAGTATGCAACCAGCCCTCAAACACACAAAAATAGAAGAAAGTCACAATTTTTACATTTTACGAAACATGAGAAGTAGCCGGTATTTTTCAATGTCTTTCATAGATTTTTGAAATTTCATGAAATATTTCAGGTGAAATTTCAAGATTTTATTTTTCATGAAATGGAGAATTTGCATGCAAATTTTTGTATTTCTTCATCTGCTTAAAGGGTTGATTTCACGGTATTTTTTATAATTTTTTTCTGATATGGGAAATAGTATAAAAATAGATTTGAAAGTGAGAAAATGGACCGCCTAGTGACGTCATCTGGTGGCTTTTCCCATATAAACTCATGTGTTTCAGCAGATTTGATAATTTCGTCATATCTTCGTTACAAGGGTATCCTCGTGTTCAGTTTACTCAGTAGTTTCCACTTAAACACAAAATTCATCAAATTTCAGACATATCGGCGGTGTAAGTTGGCAATCACATAACTCGTTTGCGGTGTCTGAAAATCTCCGCCTCTGTGTTATTTTTTTAGAGGAGAACAAATTGACATGCGATTCCTTGAAGTTTTGGCACACTTTTTTTCGCATAGAGAAGAAAAATCACTGGAGTTTTAAAGAATAGCCGTCGAGTAGTTTTCCGTTTAAAAAATGAAGTGTGATGGGAAGTCTGCGACGTCGCCAATCGAGTTATGTGATTGCCGTCTTACATCGTCGATATGCAAATTCTCTATTCTGGCAGCCTGCTCCTGAGACGAGCGGAACTGAACCACTGAATTTGGGGTCTTTTTGTTTCAGGTCGGAGGAGTGATCGGTGCGTATTCGGGGGATGGCGCACTTCATCGTTGCGCCGGCGCTGTCCTCGGGGCACGGGCATGGTTCCGTCTCCTCAACGGCGGCTTCGATCGTGCCCCCGGTCTCCGGGATCACCACGGCCCCGCCGGTCGCCGAGCCCGTCCTCGTCCAGCTCAAACCCAAGCCCCAGCCGCCCACCTTCATCGATCTCCAGAACAAGAACACCGTCAGCAAGCCCCTTCACAAGGAGGTAAGACAACCACAACAATCCAACCACCATCCACCACCATATCGACGGTGAAACTACCAAACCACGTATCTCGGTTTGCGACGTCGCAGACTTCCTGTCATACTTTATTTTTTAAATAGAAAACTACTCAACGTCAATTCGTGAAAACTTCCGTGATTTTTTCCTCTTTGTGCGGAGAAAAATATGTGAAAATTGTAAGGATTGATATTGATTTGATCTCCTTCAAAAAAATAAAATGTGAGTGGAGATTTTTAAACACCGCAACCGAGATACGTGGTCTGGTAGTTTCACCGTCGATATGGCCTGGTTACACGCTCAAATTTCCGTCAAATTCCGATCAAAATGATGACCAAGATGGCGGTCGAGAGTTATCTAGATTGATGAGTCAAATTAATTAAAACAGCATGTTGATTGACATAAGCATGAAATAAGCACGGTTGTGTGGAAATCAGATGAAGGATGAGTCCCACATGCAGTTCCATCATCTACCATCAAATTTTTGCAGGACGCAGAAATTTGATGGTAGATGGTGCGCACCAGTCACCATTTGATCGGAAATTGATGGGACCTCGAGCGTGTAACCAGCACAATACTGCCGAGCTAAGGAATAACGCCGTATGAACCTCCAGGCGTTGCCAAATCTCCTTTGTTTAAACACGAATGTTTGAGAAAACTTATGGTTATTTTTCTTCCAATTTTTCAGATTTTTTTGTTCGCAATTTCACCTAAAGTTCCTGAAGATTTCAGGGGGAAAATATTCATCAATTTCCTTAAAAATACACATTTTATCGGAAGATATTTGGCAACTCTTGAATAGTCTTACGGCAAATTTCCTTGGCACGGCAGTATAGACAGCCGCACAGTGGATCGAGACAATGGGAGAGGTCCGACAAAATTTGGAAACTTTTAAAGCTTATAACTTCGTTCATACAAACCTTTATGGTTGTAAAAGTGGTTCAATTGGTTTCCTTGTGAAATTTTTGTTCAGAGACACCCCTTCGAATTCAACATTTGACAAATTCAACATCAAAATTGGCAGTTTCAGTCAAACATTTCATGTCCGACTTCTCTGATCGACTCGATCCACTGTGAGCCGGCTCATCCTTGCAATTCATAGACAAAGCTATACAGGGTCATCCACGGTTAAACGCCCAGATTCAAGAAGCGTTTCCTATGCCTCAAAATCAGACTTTTTTTCTTGTCGATTGAGATTTTGATTTTTTTTCATCGTTAATGAATTCAGGGCATAAAAGTACGGAGGACAGATTTTCATGAGATTTAATTCACAACCGTTGCAAAAATTCAGGATAAACGATTAACTTACCGATTTTTTTCTTTTTTTGCCTTTAATCTAGAAATAAGACATTTCTTCTTCATCTTCTTCTTCTGTTTCTTCTTCTTCTGTTTCTTCTTCTTCTTCTTCTTGTTGCTCTTCTCCTTCAATTATTTCTTATTTTTTTTCTTCTTCTTCTTGCTGAAAAAACTGCCGATCTATATTGGAAGGTCGAATGAGCGCGAAGCTTACTCGTGATTGGTCAAGTGTAACTCTCTCTCATCGACGGGAGTCTCACGTTACCATGTGAGTGTCAGAGTCGCGACTGAACCCGGTTGAATGGGTCAAGGCAGAAATCCATGTTCATCTGCCTCATGCGCCTATATAGACTCTGATCAAAATGATATAGGGCCTATCAGTAAGTGTGTGTGTGTGTTTTATGTCTTTTGACCTATATTCTTATATCGCGCTGACTCACTAAGTAACTTGTCCAGTATCTGTCCGTCTAATTTTAATCGCCATTTTGACTTAGAAGGACTTAAGTTTACGAGCGTTGAAAAGTAAGGGTATTACTGAAAAAAATTGCTATTCGAGACATTTTGGCCCAAGAGTCTGAAAATTAAAAGTTTTATCAAAATAATTAAATTTTCTTAAATCTAATATGACTATGAGATTATTATTCCAAGAAAATGTAAACAATCATAGAACTAGAAATAAACTTACAAAGCACGTGCTGTATGTTTCCGCGTTCGTATGAGCTTTTACCGCGGGAAATTAGATTTTACCAATTTTCGTCACTCCATCCTTTCGAAAGATGTTCTCGCCTGAAATAGTTTCTACTAAAATTAAAACTTCAGTTTCCAGAACTAGTTAGAATATATCATTGTAATACACGGATTCGTATGCGTGTGGATTAAATGCTTAACACGCGTAAAAAAACACTATTTGGACGTATCTCCGCCAAACGAAACTATGTGCATTATGACGTGAGCCCTGTTATGCATATAGTCTTGTGGGTCTCAGGGCTCATTTCTCAATGAACATAGTTCCGTTTTGCAGAAATTCGTCCATTTCATATCATGAAAATATCATGGAAAATTCAATGCGAATCACGAAAGTAGGTATACTCTGCAAGAGAAAACTGCGAAACGATTTCAGGACATTTTGTCAACGAATTTTTGTCCGCGCACCTTTTTTGTCCAGTAGTCTACACCCACACGTAAAATAAGCAACAGTGACTTGGCCCAAGCGTTATATTTTAGTCGGTATGTAAAATTATATTGACAATATGGAAATGAGAAATTAAGAGAGAAGGAGGTGTTGTTATGGTTGCTCATTTTCTAAATGAAATGTTATTACTTTCTCCTTTTGAATCATCTTTTTAAATTGTCATTGGTGAATATTTGGTTTTCTTTCTATCTTTAAAATATTCGATGTACAATATACCTTATATATGTATAGGTACTTTTTTTATTTGTTTAATTTTTTCTTTACGAAATTATTAATACATTTTGATAACATTTACATTTTTAAAACGTGACAAATATTTGTAAAACCTTTTCCAAGCGACATTAATCTCAATGAGCCGCAGTTGTGCCGACAGAAACTGCAAAAATGAATAAAAGAGGGAAAAAAACCAAGAAGCACGCAATCTTTAGTTTTAACCCATTTGTACATCGATCTTTTAGAGTCAAATACGTCTGAGCGTTTGGTTGCGCGTACACCTCGCTGCAGCACAATAAAAGCACAAAATGTATAAACAAATTAAAGTGCTTTGGAAATCATTAAATTTAACACCAAACCAACAATATTTAAAAAACACACATTATATTATTATTCTCCTTTGACAAATTGATACATATTTTTTCCCATCAATTTAAATGAGAATAATCAATGCAGAGTGGGCAAACATTTCAAAATCATGAGTTAAAAAACGCTGACTATGCGAGTATAAAAATAGCAATAGAGCCTGGCATAAAGCGGAGTGACGCGACGGCGACGTGCTGCACTGCTGCCAGCACAAAACGCGCACTGGCGCCTACAAACCTAAGGGGATACTTCACGCATTGCGCAATGCTTACCTTGGCGCCTGCAAACCTAAGTGGATACTTCACGCATTGCACAATGCTTGAAGTTTCCACTTAGGTTTGTAGGCGCCAATGCGCGTTTTTCGCTGGCCAACTATTTTACAACAGAGGTGTTGCACAGTATCATACGAAATTGAACGTATTAAGAATGACAGGCATCCTTTAAAAGTACAGATCTTTCCTCGCAAAATAAATCAAAATACTTATCGCACACAGGAAAAATCTAAGAGCCTTTAGCTGAGGCAAATATAGAGGTTTATCCAGTTCAGGTATAGCAAGGAGGAAATTTCTTGAAAGATAATTGAGTCCTGTTACACCAAAGAGGTGTAGAGACTTTTAGTGAATTTTGTCTCATGGAATTAACGCTCCCCCATTTTTACCAAAAGTCTCAACTATATATTATTCTCCGTTGGACCAAACTGACAAAACAAAAAAACAAACAAATCCTCATTCTTCCAAGACATTATACATTTTAATCCAAAAACGTCGTGAGCAAATGTCGTTTGTATTTACATGTGGGCCAATTAACTTTGGGTCTCAAGTGACACGTGGACCAAAACTCCCGTGCCGAAAAAACGCGTGGACGTAAATTACTGGAAAAAAAACAGGTGCGCGGACAAAAAATCGTTGACAGAATGTCCTATAATACTGCAAAACTCGGAGAAAATCGCGTAAGATCCGTCCTCAAAAATGTTCATGAAATAGCACTATATTGATATTTATTCAGGGTCTGGTACATACGTATCTTTGCTATTAAGGCGAAGATCTTTTGAACGCAGTAGTTTTTTTTTAATCGTCAGTTTAATTTGAGTCCCTCGAAAGTTCATGTGTTGAAATTCGTAGGCCCGACGACGCAACATGTTACATGGCGCGTCACCGACGAACCCCACGTGAGAGAGATATTAAGGCTAGCAGTTTCATGTGTAAACGAACTTCTGATTTGAAGCTAAACATGGTTAAACATCAAAATTGTCGAAATTAGTAAGTCAGGTCTTCGAATGAAAACTTACTAAAAGAGAGCGTATGGAGCTACAAATAGGAAATTGGGGGAGGGGGTCACAAATTACACTGTAATTCACCTCTCCGTTTTATAATTAGTTTTTTTTAAAGATGACAATCTGATCCTTGGAGCAAGGCAACGATGAGATGTTGAGTTCGGTTGAAAATATAAGTCTGATATGCTTCCGTTGTCTGAACCGTATACTCTCGGGACGAGACCTGACAATGAGGGGGAGGGGGGCTTCGAACAAGACCCGTTACGGTTAGTGCACCCTGTCCTTAACGTATTATGTGACACTCTGCACCATCCGAGTTGGGTCAGCACGCTCATTTTTGTGGACGAATTTGCTGGACTTGAACACTCGGTTCTCGTCGTATCTCAGAGTGAAGAAATGCCCAGTCTGTAAACAATGTCGAAAATGACTGAAGTAATAACGCGGAGGCAATGAATGCATATTATGATACCATGATAATTTCATCGGTAATGCACGCAGAACAAAGAATGTAACTTCTTTATTTTTTGCAGTTTCCGGGAGAAAAATCAGGGAATCGTCTGAAAGATATGAGAGTTTAACTGCCCCATTCCAGCGGGGCCGACACAATCCAGAATCCGGGGGTTAATTTCGATTTTCACTCGTTTC